TTGTTTAGGCCTCTTAAAAGGAGTACGTTCCTTAGTTTAGCTTTGAGCACCACCTGCTGGCTAATAGGATGGACAGAATGGTGCCTTCCTTAAGACCTGACCATAGTGAAATGATTAGATGAATTTTATACTTAATATCTCAGTTTGTACAACCCAAAGGAAACTATCTATAGCATCTAATGGGTTTCTCTTTTTTGCAGATTACTGTTTTGTTGTCTCAAATATCCATTTTACTCTGTAAACAGAACATGAGATTTAGAACTTTACTCTTCAATTCTGGCAACAATATCACCGGGTTTTTCAACTGTCAGTTCAGTTCAGTCACTCAGTCGTGTCTGACTCTTTGCGACCCCATGAATCGCAGCACACCAGGCCTCCCTGTTCAACACCAACTCCCGGAGTCTACTCAAACCCATGTCCATCGAGTCAGTGATGCCATCCAACCATCTCGTGCTCTGTCGTCCCCTTCTCCTCCTGCCCCCAATCCCTCCCAGCATCAGGGTCTTTCCCAATGAGTCAACTCTTCACATGAGGCAGCAAGGTATTGGAGTTTCAGCTTCAGCATCAGTCCTTCCAGTGAACACCCAGGACTGACCTCCTTTAGGATGGACTGACTGGATCTCCTTGCAGTCCAAGGGACTCTGAAGAGTCTTCTCCAACACCATAGTTCAAAAGCATCAATTTTTCAGCGCTCAGCTTTCTTCACAGTCCAACTCTCACATCCATACATGACCACTGGAAAAACCATAGCCTTGACTAGACGGACCTTTGTTGGCAAAGTAATGTCTCTGCTTTTTAATATGCTATCTAGGTTGGTCATAACTTTCCTTCCAAGGAGTAAGCATCTTTTAATTTCATGGCTGCAATCACCATCTGCAGTGATTTTGGAGCCCAAAAGAATAAAGTCTGACACTGTTTCCACTGTTTCCCCATCTATTTGCCATGAAGTGATGGGACCAGGTGCCATGATCTTACTTTTCTGAATGTTGAGCTTTAAACCAACTTTTTCACTCTCCTCTTCAACTTTCATCAAGAGGCTTTTTAGTTCCTCCTTACTTTCTGCCATAAGGGTGGTGTCATCTGCATATCTGAGGTTATTGATATTTCTGCCGGCAATCTTGATTCCAGCTTGTGCTTCTTCCAGCCCAGCATTTCTCATGATGTACTCTGCATATAAGTTAAATAAGCAGGGTGACAATATACAGCCTTGACATACTCCTTTCCCTATTTGGAACCAGTCTGTTGTTCCATGTCCAGTTCTAACTCTTGCTTCCTGACCTACATACAGGTTTTTCTGTGACCCTATGCCAGTTCGGGGCCAGATAATTCTTTGTTATTGGGGGGCTGTTGTTTGCATTGTAGGATGCTTATTGTATCTCTGGCTTCTATCAACTAGATACCAGGTGTGTTGTTGGTCAGTCACTAATCTTTGTGTGACTCCTTGAGACACTGTGGACTGCAGCTCACCAGGTTTCCCTGTCCTTCACCATTTACCCAAGTTTGTTCACCTCATATCCATTGAGTCAAAGATGCGATCCAACCATCTCAACCTCTGTTTCCCCCTTCTCCTGAAGCCTGCAGTCTTTCTCAGCATCAGGGTCTTTTTCAATGAGTTGGCTCTTCTCATCAGGTGGCCATAGTATTAGAGTTTCAGCATCAGTCCTTCCAGTGAATAGTCAGAACTGATTTCCTTTAGGATGGACTGGTTTGATCTCCTTGGTGTCCAGGGGACTCTCAAGAGTCTTCTCCAACACCGTAGTTCAAAAGCATCAATTCTTCTGCACTCAGCCTTCTTTACAGTCCAACTCTCACATCCGTACATGACTACTGGAAAAACCATAGCTTTGACTATACAGACATTTGTTGGTAAAGTGATGTCTCTGCTTTTTAATATATTGGCTAGGTTTGTTGTAGCTTTTCTTTGAAGGAGCAGGCAACCTTTAACTTCATGGCTGCAGTTACTGTCCAGAGTGATTCTGGAGCTCAAAAAAATAAAGTCTGTCACTGTTTCCATTTTCCTCCATCTCTTTGCCGTGAAGTGATGGGACCAGATGCCATGATCTTAATTTTTTGAATGCTGAGTTTAAAGCCAACTTTTTCACTCTCCCCTTTCACCTTCATCAAGAAACTCTTTAGTCCTCTTCATTTTCTCCCATTAGGGTGGTGTCATCTGTGTATTTGAGGGTGATATTTCTCCCAGCAGTCTTAATTGCACTTTGTGATTCATCCATCCCGGCATAAGGAGATGGCAACCCACTCGAGTATTCTTGACTGGAAAATCCCATGGACATAGGAGCCTGGTAGGCTATAGTCAGTCCGTGGGGTGGCAAAGAGTTGGACACAACTGAGTGACTTCACATTCACTTTGACTTCACTCTTTATAGAAGTTAAATAATCAGGGTTACAATAGAGCCTTGCCATACTGCTTTCCCAATTTTGAACCAGTCTTTTGTTCCATGTCCGGTTCTAACTGTTGCATCTTGACCTGCATACAGGTTTCTCAGGAGGCGGGTAAGGTGGTCTGGTATTCCTATCTTTTGAAGAATTTTCCGGTTTGTTGTGATTCATACAGTCAAAGTCTTCTAGCATAGTTAATGAATCAAAAGTAGTTGTTTTTCTGGAATTCTCTTGCTTTCTGTATGATCCAAAAGATGTTAGCAGTTTGATCTCTGGTGCCTCTGCCTTTTCTAAATTCAGCTTAAACATCTGGAAGTTCTCAGTTCATGTTTTGTTGAAATCTAGCCTGAAGGATTTTTAACATAATCATCCTTATGTGAAATGAGCACAATTGTATGTTAGTTTGAACATTCTTTGGCATTATTCATCTTTGGGATTGTAATGAAAACTGACCTTTTCCAGTGCTGTGGCCACTTCTGAGTTTTCCAGATTTGCTGGCATACTGAGTGCAGCACTTTAATAACATCATCTCATAGGATTTGAAATAGCTCAGCTGGAATACCATCACCTCCACTAGCTTTGTAGTAATGCGTCCTAAAGCCCACCTGACTTTACACTCCAGGATGTCTGGCTCTAGGTTAGTGACCACACCATTTTGGTTATCCAGGTCATTAAGACTTTTTTGTACAATTCTTCTGTGTATTCTTGCCACCTCTTCTGAACCAGTTCTGCTTCTGTTAGGTCCTTACTGTTTTTGCCCTTTATTGTGCCCATGTTTGCATGAAATGTTCCCTTGGTATTTCCGGTTTTCTTGAAGAGATCTCTAGTCTTTGCCATTCTGTTGTTTTCCTCTACCAGGTACACCCCTCAGTTGAGAAAACCAAAAAGTGCCCCTGGGTCACAAAGTCTTCCCCAGGTTGAGAATCAATATATTACCATAACCCTTTTTACTCCAGTTTTCTGGGCGAATACTATACTTCTCAACTGAAATACATCTATCCATTGTGGTTCACAAACAGCTAATACTATAAAGTTTATCAAATAAAAAGATATTGAAAATTCATCCACAAATGAATGGGAAATTGAAGAGAAAGTCTAAGAATTTTAGAACTGCCTTGGGTGTTTGAATGTGAGTTAATTGAAAGAGATTAGTAAATTTTCTATCGTGGAAAGAAATCTAGTCAAATTTCTCTATAGGTCAAGGTATATGACTTATGTAATATAGTCCCATTTAGAAAAAAGTTATAAAACATTTAAAAATGGAATAGCTTTAAAATAGTTTTTATTCTCTCTGACTTCATTGTCATGAAACATCACTGTAACATAGTTAAAGGAAAGAGTTAGGAGATATTCAGATAGGAACACAAAGTATGTTAGAACATTAGCATGAGCAGAAAAGCCCAAATACTCCAGTTTGGTAATTCAGCAATTTTTATTTCATCTCTATAGCAGTTTGTAGAAATCTTAAATTTATCATAATTTCTGGCATCTAACAAAATAGGAACTCTTAATTTCCATTATTTTAACTAATTTATATAACATTCTGCTAATACTTTCAAAAATTTCTATCAGTTTCTTTTGTCCTTGTTTCTGTTTTCCTTCATACGCTAAGGTATAATAGCTTCATCTTTATTTTGCATTCTTTTTGTACTTAACTATTATTGTTGTTTAGTCACTCAGTCCTGTCTGACTCTCTGTGACCACACGGACTGCAGCATGCCAGGCTTCCCTGTCCTTTACTGTCTCCCTGAGTTTGCTTAAACTCATGTCCATTGAATCGGTGATGCCATCCAACTATCTCATCCTTTGCCACCCTCTTCTCCTTTTGCCTTCAGTGTTTCCCAGGGTCAGGGTTTTTCCAGTGAGTTGGCTCTTCACATGAAGTGGCCAGAGTTTTGTAGCTTCAGCCTCAGTCTTTCCAATGAATATTCAGGGTTGGTTTTCTTTAAGATTGACTGGTTGGATCTCCTTGCTGTCCAAGGGACTCTCAAGAGTCTTCTCCAGCACCACCGTTCAGAAGCATCAGTTTTTCGGCGCTCAGTGTTCTTTATGGTCCAGCTAACATCCATTCATACAAGCAGTGGACCTTTGTCAGCAAAGTGATGTGTCTGCTTTTTAATACACTGTCTAGGTTTGTCATAGCTTTTCTTCCAAGGAGCAAGCGTCTTTTAACTTCATGGCTACAGTCACCATCCACAGTGATTTTGGAGCCCAAGAAAATAAAGTCTGTCGCTGTTTCCATTTTTCCCTGTCTGTTTGCCATTAAGTGATGGGACCAGGTGCCAGGATCTTAGTTTTTTGAATGTTGAGTTTCAAGCTAGCTTTTTCACTCTCCTCTTTCACCTTCATCATCATCGTTAGTTCCTCTTCACTTTCTTCCATTAGGATGGTGTCATCTGCATATCTGAGGCTGGTGATACTTCTCCCAACAATCTTTGATTCTAGCTTGTGATTCATCCAGCCCAGCATTTTGCATGATGTACTCTGCGTAGAAGTTAAACGGACAGGGTGACAGTATGCAGCCTTAAAAACAAATTATGTTTCATAGCATCTATCATTTTAGCCTGCGAATCTAGTGATGACATCTGCTTTTCAAATTACAGTCTGCTGCAAATCCTGAGACTCCAAACTCAACCACCTCCAGAGAGGCCAGCACCCAGTCTTCTTCAGCTACCACCAGCCAAGGCTATGTTTTACCAGAAGGCAAAATCATGCCAAACACTGTTTTTGTTGGTGGAATTGATGTTAGGGTAATGTATTCATGTTTTCATTTACTGAAAGTATTTCATGAATAGTGGGATTTGGGTACTGTTGCAAACGTAAGACTTCTCTTTTTTTTAAGTACTTCATGCAGGTTTGGAATTGTTTTTTATGCATAACCTTTAGGGGCTAAAAGTATCTTTGATATAGATACGTAGTTTGGGGATGCTTGGAGGAGATATTTCCACATCACCAAATCTTCTTTATAGTATAATTGAAATTTTTTAATGTTGAATTTTTACTTTTAAAAATCAAACTCTTCTGCATAGATGGATGAAACAGAAATTAGAAGTTTCTTTGCTAGATATGGTTCAGTAAAAGAAGTGAAGATAATCACGGATCGAACTGGTGTGTCCAAAGGGTGAGTAAAACATATGTTCAGTATAAATTATAATAAATATCTGAACTATAGCATGTATAGGATTTCAGAAAAGAAAAATTGAAAACTGGTATTCTAACATTTGTGTAAATGAAATTTGTTACTTTTAACTTCTTTCATGTAGAGGATAAGTTTTGCTGACAGCTCTTCTATTTAATCATTTGCCTAGTGTTTGTATTTAAACATTTCTTATCTTCATTTCACATAAGAGGATTAGTCAGTTTTATCAAAGAATATTTTTCTTCATACGTTTCACAGTATCTTAAATTTTGATGATTTTGCCGTAGATAATAAGTTAAACTCAGATTCATAGGTATGAATTTTTTGTTAATTAAGTTCCTACACTGCCTTAATCTTCGTGAATTCTGACACAGATCTGTAGATCAGGGTAGGAAAGTAAAATAGTAGTATTTATAGGGAATCTATCATGTACATGTTAGTTATTTATCTCAGTATACTTTTTATCCTTTATCATTATTTAGTCAGTTATAGAACACTAGTTTTAAACCATGTACTGATATGGTGGTGATTTTATACTTCATCTATCTGACTTTCTAGCTATGGATTTGTTTCATTTTATAATGACGTGGATGTGCAGAAGATAGTAGAAGTAAGTAATCATCTTTTGGAAAAAATCTCTATTACGTTATGGATGTGGTGTTTAGTATTGTTTGCATCCTCAATATATATTCATTCTTTTATAAGATATAGAAATAAATATATATAGAAATAAATATATTTCCTGTTTGAAATTCAGGCTTGGAATAATTTACATAACTTATCAGAACCTCTGTATTTTTGATTGAGCATCCAGCTTCATGAACTAGAGATAGGAAAGATTAGAGACAGAATAAAGGTTTTTTTTTAAATCAAATTTCATAACTTCTCAAAATTTGATTAGAGTGAAGGTAAGTAAGGTGGTTTCATGCTGATAAGTTTTGATTTGGTATATTCTTACCACTGATCTTATCTGATAGTAGTAATTTTAGAGAACTTGGGTATTTATCAAAGTCTTGGAAGTAAAGACTTGGATGTTAATTCTAGTTTTGATACTGTTTTATTTTCAGTCACAGATAAATTTCCATGGTAAAAAGCTGAAACTGGGCCCTGCAATCAGGAAACAAAATTTGTGTGAGTAAAGAAAGGAATTGTTCTTGTTGACACATGTATGGCTTTTCAGAGAACTGAAAATAGGCTTTGTTTTCTTTTTACTCTTTAAAAAGGTGCTTATCATATGCAGCCACGTCCTTTGGTTTTTAATCCTCCTCCTCCACCACAGTTTCAGAGTGTCTGGAGTAATCCAAACACTGAAACTTACATACAGCCTCCGACCATGATGAATCCTATAACTCAGTATGTTCAGGTAAGAAGTACTGCGTTCCTTTTTTATTTTTCTTGGTGTGTGTGTTATATTAGAGATTTACTATTGATGGGAGCACCTTAAAAGTTAAGCCAGTCTTAGTTCTTACCCTCTGTGGAATCATGTCAGCAATTTCCATAATAGGTGACAATCCTAGCTCTGTTTGAATACTTTTGAATGATGGGACATCTTGTGAGAAATGTCATTCTTAGTGTTGCTTGTTCTTGTTCAGTTGCTAAGTCCTGTCCAACTCTTTGCAACCCCATGGACTGCAGGATGCCAGGCTTCCCTGTCCTTCACTATCTCCTGGAGTTTTCTCAAACACACACCCATTACTTCAGTGTACCATCCAACCATTTCATTCTCTGTTGTCCCCCTTCTCCTCCCATCCTCAATCTTTCCCAGCATCAGGGTCTTTTCCAGTGAGTTGGCTCTTTGCATCAGGTGGTCATATTGGAGCTTCTGCCTCAATATCAGTCCTTCAATGAATAATCAGGTTGATTTCCTTTAGGATTGTCTGGTTTGATGTCTTCACTATCCAGGAGACTCTCAAGAGTCTTCTCCAGCACCACAGTTCAAAAGCATCAGTTCTTAAGTGCTCACACTTTATGGTCCAACTCTCACATCCATACATGACTACTGGAAAAACCATAGCTTTGATTATACAGACCTTTGTCAGCAAAGTGATGTCTCTGCTTTTTAATATGCTGTCTAGGTTTGTCATAATTTTTCTTCCAAGGAGCAAGCGTCTTTTAATATCATGGCTGCATTCACCGTCCACAGTGATTTTGGAGCCCAAGAAAATAAAGTCTACCACTGTTTCCATTTTCTCCCATCTATTTGCCATTAAGTAATGGGACCAGATGCCAGGATCTTATTTTTTTTAATGTTGAGTTCTAAGCCAGCTTTTCCACTTGCCTCTTTCACCTTCATCAGGGGGCTCTTTATTTCTTCGCTTTCTGCCATTAAGATGGTATTATCTGCATATCTGAGGTTGGTGATAATTCTTCCGGCGATCTTGATTCCAGCTTGTGATTCATCCAGCCCAGCATTTAGGATGATGTACTCTGCATAGAAGTTTATTTATCAGGGTTACCATGTACAGCCTTACGGTACTCCTTTCTCAATTTTGAACTAGTCCATTGTTCTATGTCTGGTTCTAACTGTTGCTTCCTGAGCTGCATACAGGTTTCTCAGGAGGTAGGTAAAGTGGTCTAGCATTCCCATGTCTTGAAGAATTTCCCATAGTTTTTTGTGATCCATACTTTCAAAGGCTTTAGTGTAGTCAGTGAAGCAGAAGTAGTTGTTTTTCTTGGAATTCTGTTGCTTTCTCTATGATCCAAAAGATGTTAGCAATTTGACCTCTGGTTCCTCTGCCTTTTCTAAAACCAGCTTGTACATCTGGAATTTCTTGGTTCACATGCTGTTGAACCCTAACTTGAAGGATTTTGAGCATTATCTTGCTAGCATGTGAAACAAGCTCAATTGTATGATAATTCAAACATTCTTTGGCATTGCCCTTCTTTGGGATTGAAATGAAAACTAACCTCTTTCAGTCCTGTGGCCGCTGCTGGGCTTTCCAAATTTTCTGGTATACTGAGTGCAACACTTTAACAGCATCATCTTTTAGGATTTGAAATAGCCCAGCTGGAAATCCATCACCTCCACTAGCTTTGTTTGTAGTGATGCTTCCTAAGGCCCACTTGACTTCACACTCCAGGATGTCTGGCTCTAGGTGAGTGACCACATCCTCGTGGTTATCTGGTTCATTAAGACCTTTGTTGTACAGTTCTTCTGTGTATTCTTGCCACCCCTTCTGAATCTCTTCTACTTCTGGTAAGTCCTTGGCGTTTCTGTCCTTTATTTTGCCCATCTTTGCATGAAATGTTCCCTTGGTGTTACTTAAAGCTTGAATCTGCTTCTTTATAGTTTGTAAGTCTTTATCTGAGAACTGATCACTGTAGCCATATAGAGTATATCTCTTCTCTATTTTTTCCCCAAATAACTCCTAAAATGCTTGAAGACAGTTTTCTTCATGTGTTTACCTGGTTTCCTCTTTCCTAGGGTCAACTAGGAAATAAATTGCAATTTATTTGCAATGATTTCCAGGTGCCTCTTCATACAGATTGTTGATTTCTAGATGTATTATGGTTCTAACATGGATAAATTTCTGATGATTTAATTATATTTGTAAGTTCTATGAGTTTCTGGCATATAATTTGTCTTGCCTTGATTTAATATTTGAAGTGAAATTTGGAATACTTGTCTCCTATTGATAATAAATAACATTTATTTTATACCTACTTCAGTTTACCTTCTTCAGTTCAAAAGACATTTTATTCTTAGGAAAAGAAATAAAATAATAGTGAAAAGGGTCTGCAGTGTCTCTCATTTGTTTGCATTTTTCATCTGCCTGAGGTATAGAATATATCTTTCCTTACAAAAGAAAAAAAAAACAGAAGAAAAGCCCTGCTTGTTCATAAAATTTACCATGAGGTATTATTACCTATTATGGTATATTTTTGTATGGTACTACCTAGATATTTTCAGTCAATAAATATTTATTGAAATATATAATACATTGTACTATCTCTTTTTCAGTTTTGGGTTGTACATTGCCCTTAACTTTTAGAAGCAAAACACAGAAAGAGCCAGAATGTCTGTGGGGAGTATTCCATGTTACCCCAAAATACTGTCAAAGGAATACAAAACTGCCTAAAAATATTCTTACCAAAAAAGCACATGTATTAATATAATGCTAATATGGAAAACTATTCTAATAGGGCTTCATCATGATTAAGAAAGAACTTCTGGGTGGGAATAAATATACAAAAAAGATAAACGTGGGCTTGCAAAATTAGTCACTTCCTTTATTTATCTCTTCCTTCTCCCAGCCCAAAAGGCTAACATTTGGCAGAGAATACTTATTTCTTCATGAAAGCTGTCACTCAGATAGCATTTTGGTTTGGATATAAAAAAATGAAGATTTCCTTATTTTCATGTTTTTATTGCATTGGGAATGATACTCCTTTCTGATTTTTAAAAATGTACGTTCATTCATTCTTTCTGTAAACTTTGTTTTCAGGCTTATCCTCCTTATCCAAGTTCACCAGTTCAGGTTATCACTGGATATCAGCTGCCTGTTTATAATTATCAGGTAATTTAATAGGGATCAAAATTGTTTATTTTGGAATATTATTTAGGCCTTTATGTAAATTTCCCTAATAGTTTGTCATTTAAAATAGTTGAGTGTGCCTAAAATTTAAGAAAAATAGAATTAGTCTAGAATTAGGGCTTCTCTATTATTTAGAATAAGAGAATAATATTTTGACAGAAATGAGCTTGGTAAGCTTTCTGTTGTACTGTCTTACACATTTTGGTGTCCTCTTCTGTATTTCAACTTGTAGTCTTCATCTTTGCTGTCTAATAGCTAAAACATACAGGCTGAATCTTAGGAGTCTTTATAGAGGCATAGATTGAGATAAAATGATTACTCAGTTCTTAGAACATTGAATTCCAGTTACGTTTGATAATGTTTATTTTAGCTGGCTACTAGAATTTCTGTCCGTAGATATGACCATATCTGTGACACTGACTATGGTAATAATTTCAAAGAGCTACTGTCTCTTGAGTTTTCCTGAAAACCAACTCCAGAAAATTGAGAAAAAGATGGAGTTTATATATGAAAGTAACAATAAAATCATACGTATCATAAAGTACTTTTCTCTTCCAGTTTCTTTTGTTATAACCAGCTCGAGGCCACCACCGGCACCTCAGCATTGTCTGTTTCAGGTCCTTGTGGCAGGGTAAAGGGGTGTTTATTTAGGTGTTATTTCCTTCTTGTTTCAAGATGCCACCGCAGTGGCCTGCTGGGGAGCAAAGGAGTTACGTTATTCCTCCGGTAAGGTGAAGTAGCCAAGCATGTACTTCCTATTCTGTATTTTAAAAGTATTTGCGTATTACATTTCTTTGCAACTCAAGTGTGTGTGTGTGTGTGTGTGTGTGTGTGTGTGTGTGTGTGTGTGTATATACACTCCCATGGGAGAAACTATGCTTTTTGTTTCTCAGATTATTTTGTATGTACTTAAGCAATGGCTGCCCTGCGTACAACAGTGCTCAGTTACTTACTGATAGAATATGTCACCAAGAAAGGTAGTACTAATAACCTGTGCTATTTCTAACTCCAAGGATTTATAATTAATATTGAATCTGCCTCGAGTTTTCTAGCCAAAAAAAATCTGTTGAGAGAAGCAAAAATATTTTCCTTTTAACACTGTTATATTAGAAAATAAATAAAACAAAAGAGGAAGCTACCTCTAAAATATCTGAGCCTTTGTTACCTTCTGTCTTTCATCAGGATTGGATATTTGAAGGACATCATATGAGCAAAAATTCTGAGGCACTGGGAAATTCCCTTTCCATTCCCACACTACATGTTAAAGTGTCTTAGAGAAATTCTCCTTCTAATTCTGGTTATGTTGACATTTTGAAATATAAGACTCCCATATTGCATTTCAACTATTTAGTTTAAAATAGTTTCTGAAATAATGTAATTGAACTTCAGAACAATGCACATTTAAACTTTCAGTACAAGCACAGTATTTTGAAGAATATCTAATGTACATCTCTTTAATTATACTTTTATCCTTTTAAATGTAGGCTTATACAACCATTAACTACCACTGTAATGAAGTTGATACAGGAGCTGAAGTTTTGCCAAGTGAATGCTCAGTTCATGAAGCTACTCCATCCTCTGGAAATGGCCCACAAAAGGCAAACATTGAATTTTGTTCATTAATGTTTATATTTCTATATGTGCTTTTTCCAAGTTTTAATAATAGCGCTTTGAGAAACAGATATCTTTGCTCAGATTTAAATATAATATAGAGCTTGAGTTATTGACTAAAAGCCTCACAATTTACATAAAAGTAAATGAAATTCTAGGTACCTGCAAACCAGTTACTGATTCAGTTGTCCTTCCCTTTCTTCCATTTTCATTGGGTTTTTTTGGTTTGTTTTTTAACTGTAGTTTAATAAATATTAACATGGTTTGACAGAGTCCAGTGGGTAGTTTTTCTCTTGAATCCTACTCTTCAAAAGAGGGATTAGTATGACTTATATCTACCTGTCTTTTACCAATTTAAACATTTACTTAGATAAATAATAATGAACAATTATTTATGGTATTCTCACCATAACATATCTGGTGGCAGTTCTCAAAAGTGGTGGACTCATTAGTAATTGAAATACTTAAATAGAGGTATATCTTTTTTTATCATTTTAGAGCAAATCCCTGTAATAATAACACTCTCATTCTTGAATTCTGTGTTTTTTGAATGGGTGAAGATGTGAAAAGTAATTGATCTGATTGGAATATGTGTAACACTGAACGATTCTCATAACAGTAAACAGTTCCTGTTGGAGTATGTGTACTTCCTCCATGTATTTCTCAATGGAAAATTTTTAAAATTACTGAACTGTGCAGTGAAAATAATCCCAGATTTGTTATACAACTTAAAATTTGAAAAAAAAAAGAAACACCAAAATAACTTGCAGTTATATTATCAGAGTTTAACCTGAATAAATGTTTCTTGAAATATTGAGACTCACTATTTCCCATCTAACAGGAAAAATTAAAGAGACTTAAAAACAGCTATCTTAAGGCTTGACTAATTGAGCTTTCTAAACCAGTACTCTATCACTAAGTTTCTGAAATAATTCTTAAATTTGGTATAAAAGTTACATACTACATGACATGGTAAAAATTTAAAAATTGCATGAGAATTCTTTAGAAATAAGTATATGTATTCATTAAGTTTTCCCAAAAGCTTGTTACCAGTGAGTAAAAGAGTGAATAGTCTACTGAAAACTTCTGTGTTTCAGAAATCTGTGGACAGAAGCATACAGACGGTGGTGTCTTGTCTGTTTAATCCGGAGACTAGACTGAGAAACTCCCTTGTCACTCAGGACGACTACTTCAAGGTATGAGAAGAATAGTTATGCAGGATAAAAAGCACGCTTGTCACACATACAGCATCTTTCTTCCCTGTGGTATACATATATTTATATATATACTGAGCTTACATAGAGCATATAATTGAACTCTTAGCTTTTGACTGTAACCCGAGAGTGAGTTTTAAGTAGCAGTGTATCTGCTTAAATCTTGCTTGGTATAGTGTAGGTTACCCGTAGGGAAGAAATCTTTAGCAGAAGCCTATGATTTAGGGACTAAACAACAACAATAACACTGTAATTCAAAGGGTTCTTGAAAGAAAATATTGTCTTGACTAAATAGGAAAAGAAAATTTTAAATACAGAAAACAAAACTTAGAGTACGTGGATATTGGACTAAGAAGAAGAAAGAATTGAATACTCAGATGATGCACTTAAACCTTTATGGAGGATGTAAGTGAAGTAGTAAAAAGAGCTGAGTAGAAAGAAACAAAAGTTGTTTCAGAGTTGCTAAAGTGGAGAAGAATGTGGCTGTTTGAATTTAAGAAAGTGTCTATAGTTTCTGATCCTAGTGCTATCATCTTGGACAAATCACTTAAATCTCACTAAGGCTCTAGTTTTTACAATTCTGAAATGAGGAGTCTCTGGAATCCCTTTAGTTCTCAGTCTCTGAATATGGAAAGAAATTTGTTACTTCACCAAAGGAAGAATATTGTGCTTATTAGTAGTAAATGGAAGTTCTTTGTTGTTTTTTCACAGCAGTCTTACTGAGATACAATTTTCATTCCCCGCAATTCACCCATTTAAAGTGTGCAAGTTAATGCTTCACAGAACATGCACAGCGTTGTGCAGTCATAAGTACAGGAAATTTCAGAGTGTTTTAACCACCTCCAGAATAATGCTCCCTACCCATTACTCACACTCTGTCCTCCCCAGCTCCCTAGCCTTAGGCTGCCTCTCATCTCTGTTTAGGAATTGCTTGTTCTGAATGTTTCATGTCAGTAGAGTAATACATGTAACCTTTGTGACTGACTCCCACCAACTGAAATGTTTTTGAGGCTCATCAATATTACAGCAAGTATTAGTACTTCATTTTCTGTTTATTTATCGATCTGCAAGCTTGTGTTTATCAGTTCATCACTTACTTGATAGACATTTGGGTTGTTTTCCACTTTGAGGCCCTGATGAGTAATGGTATGAACATTTGTGTACTAATGTTTGTGTGGACATACGTTTTTATTTCTCTTGGGTATATACCTAAGAATGAAATTGCTGAGTTAAATAGTAACAGTGTTTAACTTTCCAAAATGCAGCATTTAACATCCAAAGGGAAATTTTAAACCATTGCTTTGTATCTTAAAACAGGGAAAGGAGCATAGCTTTTTTCCATCAATGAATGGAAATAGGATAAAACTTAAAGCATTTTTAGAAGAAGTACTTAGGGTTTCCTTTAATATAAAAGACTAGAGCTGTAGCACAGTTAAGTTCTTAGCCATCTTCTCAATAGGGAGTAGACTTAGTCATTTAAAGTTGACTTTTGTTTTCTTGTTTTTCATTGTACATAAATAGTAAATTTAAAGGGAAAGAATTGGGGGCTGTGTGACAGCTTACTTTGCCCAGGGTTCTGAAGGTTAAATAGTCAGTACTACCGAATTTGTTTGTAAAGCAGAAAATGTTTAACCAGCGAGTCTTTAAACTTGATTTTTTACCTGTATTAAGCAGAAGTCTACCTTTGAACCTTCCAAAGTTTTCTACTCCTCTGAGCTAAGAGTTAGAAGTTGTCTAGCATCTAGACCTGTTTATTTTGATTAACTAAATGTTGTTACTGTTGTTTTAATTGAATTTAAATGCACTAAGGCAGGATATGGAGAAGGAAATGGCAGCCCACTCCAGTTATCCTTGCCTGGCAAATCCAGTGGACACAGGAGCCAGGTGGGCCTCAGTCCCTGTCGTCGCAGAGTCGGACACAACTGAGCACTCACACAACGCAGGATATACCCTCGTTCCATGATAAATTCCACTCTTAATTCCAGCCCCTTCATAATCTTTCATACCCTATCTGATTTTTTAAAATACTTGAATTTGTGACCACTTTTCTGGACTTTAACCTAAATAGGATATTACCCTGTTAACACGTTACATAATTTCCAGAAGCTACCCTTTATATGATAGCGGAATTTAATTCCTAGGAAAAGGGCACAATTAAGCTAAAAGCATAGAGAAGAAAATACTTTTATTATGTTATTACTGGTTCTCAGCTCCATCTCTCTTTGTAAGGCCTCATTTCTTCTATCTGCACATCTGCTGGCAACAAAGTAAAAGGAAATTTTTGCATATACTTTAATTTTTCTATTCATTTCCTTAAAAATTATATATCTTCTTTATAGCTTAAGGATATGCCTTTAAAGATGCCAAATATGTATCTTTTAACCTAAAAGCATAGGGTTTCAGATTGAAATGGAGTGCTGTTCTCAAGCCATCATTGAGAAGCCGTGATTTCTGTTAGATGTATTTTAGTAAAAATACGACTGTTTAAAATTTCATGTTTTTCACCTGCTCTCTTTGGGACATCAGTGCAGAGTCATGAATTAATAAGAATCTGCATATTAGAAAACTGTGTTGATTTCCAAGTCCTCGTTTTCTGAGTCACCAAGACTTGTTTTTTAACTGAATTGTTGAATAAAACTGATCATTGGTACATTTGTTACCTGAGAGTTCAGGAATGCTTTCACAAAAGGATCACTTTTCTCATTATTTATAGTTTTAAATTTAAGAAAAAAGCTTTCTTTAAGTAATTTTCAAGTCTCTTAGGTTGTAATGGTAATAGGAATTTTCAGTGAAATTAAAATGGACTATTTCTGTCTTTTCTAGGATAAAAGAGTTCATCACTTTAGAAGAAGTCGGGCAGTACTTAAGTCTGTTTGATCCTTTTTGCTAACTTTCTAGTCTCATAGGAAGTCACAGGTTTTGAATAGTAAGAGACTGAAAGTTTTCCACTACTACAGAAATTTAATTCTGAATTTTGATAAATCACACTCAGACTTTATATATGTTATATTAGATTGCCTAGTTTTATTTTACATTGAAAGTTTTTCATTAGACATTTACTTAGAAACTGGTTCTGTGTTGAATATATAGTTAAAAGTGAAAAAATAATTGAGACTGAAAATAACTTTAAGATATATCTGTAAGGATTTTTACTTGACATTTTAAGAGTTTAAAAACAAATGCTGATTTTTTTTTTAAAAAAATTGTTTTAGAAAACCTATTTTGAAAGGTCAGAATTTTGATGGTTTAAATACAAGCACTACACTTCTCCAACAAGTACCCATGAACAGTACAATATTTGCAATATTGTGCTTTTATGATTTATCTAGAAATTTATCACAAAAGCAGAGTTTTTAAACCTGTATTTTTAATCAGTGAAACTCAATATATAGTTAGCTTTATTGAAGTTTTCCTTATCTAAACCCAGTAAAACAGATTCTATACAAACAGTCCAATCAGTGGGTCTTATATTTATTACTTCAAAATACTTTATCTTTTATCTGGAATCCACACATAGAGATATCCGATTGGGATGGTAATTAGGATAACTAAAATTCTGGGCCAATTTTTTTTTTTTTAAAGAATCTAAAACAATTTTAACTTTTGTAGGTACATAAACTTCTTAGTTGAGTTACCATTCTCCTTTTTTCTTTTACTTTTTTTTCCCTTGAAATGCTAAACACAATGGCTGTATCTTAAATTGTGCAAAATATTGGTATTAAAGAAGACTGAAACTTTTATGTCACTTAAAAGTTAATCAGAGTATCTGAAAGGAATTGTTTTTGTAAGAAACATTAAAATATTAGTTATTTGTTAAAGAACAGAAAGATTTTTATTTTGTTTCTTTAGCCTGTTTTCTTTTTTTTTAAGTAAAATATGTCCAGGAAAGTCAGAGCAGTTTTGATGTTTCTAAACCACAAAAGATGTTTAGTAATAAGCATATCCCAAAAATACACTTGAGTTAACAATCCATTTTTAGATTAGGTAGGCTCCTCCTTAGACATTGCAAATCGTGATGAATAACTAGAGATCCAGAGCCCCTTGGCTATACCCACGGTCTTGCCTTTCCAGTCTCCACCATTCTTGCAGGAGGTTTGCTCCTGGAACAGGTGATGTGAAGCAAAGAAGTAGTAGTATAAGCAGTGTGAGAATTAAGCCTTGGAAAGGGTAGCAGTGGGATAACCCCTTTCTAAGGGAATCACTTGTAGCAGCATCATTTGACCTGCCATGGGTTTAGAGGAGCTTCCTGGCTTTTCTTTCGTGGGCCAGCCCCTTCATTAATACGTGGAAACTCCATATAGCCCTGTCCTAATGACGCTTCCATGGGCCATGCCATCAGTGCCCATTGTCTTATAATTCCTAATAATTTTCCTTCTGAATCTGAAGGGAAGAATCTTTTAAGGATACCCAAGAGGGCTTTCTTACACCTCAGAATTTCAAAGTGCCCTGAAATTTGTTTTTTAAAATTCTCTACTTTTTTGTGTGTGTGCTATAACATTCTTACATGTATTATTCTGTGATTAAATCTCCAGGTTACTATAAATGATACCTAAATTCTAAAGAGCCAATTCTAATTATTCCAGTATGACCTTATTCCCTTAAGAAAAAGGGAATAAACGTTTTGTCTGCTATTTTGTTGGACTGAAGTATTTAAAAGAGTAAGGTAGAAAGAAGAGACAAAATCCTGAACCTTTCAAAATGGAAAATTAATTTTAAACTTAAAAATGTGTTCCTATTACCTATGCTGATACTATCTTTGCATAAATGAATAAATAGTAATAAACTTTTTTTTCAAAAGTGTTTTGACCTGCTTACTCATCTTATGTTATCTTTAAAAAATGGTGACAATTTGGGTGGGTAGTATGTGACAAGATTTAGTGAGATCCTTGAAATTCAAAAGTGTAAATATTGTTCAGTTTCTTAAATCTGTCCAAGTTTATAAAAGCACATTTTGGTACATTGTAGTTTTGTTGCTTTATCTTATGAAGCTGAGATATTTTTGTGAGGAAGTAATTTCTTTACTTGATTCTTTATTTCGTTCTAACGAAGCTAAATTAGTTTATAACATTTTGGGACCCTAAAACTAGACTATGTATGTATCTTAAAACTGTTGTTTTTTAAATATGCTTGATAATTTAAGCATATTTGCAGTTAAGGATTACCAGAAAATTCACAACAAAGAGCCAAGCCATTAAGATGGAAAAAAATTTTATACCATGCTTTTTTTTTTAAGTTGCAAATTATGGCAAAAATCAACTCCATAAAGTTTGGTCACCCCTGTAATAAACTTATTCTGCCTACTTTCTTTTTTTTCTAATAAAAACATGTTATCCTTGTGATTGTGCAGAATAACTATTCAATATTGATTAGCACCCTTGAATTGCAAGGAAGTCATTGGGTTTAGTTTATAAAACCTTGTATCCACCTCTCTGAAATTCTCTTGGTTGTCTTTAAAGGTAAACTTATAAAACTGGGCTGCCACATTGCTTAGGTGTTTTACCTCCTTTCATTGGTGGTTTGGAGGTAATAAGGAGCAGCAGTGATAAGATAGCATGCCACTCTTTCACAGAGAAACACTAGAGAGGATGGGAGACCGTAAGGCAGAGAAAAGCTTTCCATTGACCGAGTCTTACAGATAGGCCCAGCTGTTGAGTATGATCATTTGGAATCCTCAGAACACTTCTAGATGAAGATTGCTCCTGCATACATTTTGATAACTCTGTAATCTAGCTCTTCCCAATGTTATGTGTAATATGTTTCTCTGTGTGTAACTGAATATTTTTGAGCAGTTCCTCACCACCCATCATCAAAGACTCTGAGTTTTCCATCTGTAGATGGTACATTTGGTAGTAGAACACAATAAACATAAGAAGTTGAAACTATAAACATGCGTTTTTGAATGCTCATACAGAATATTCAATCTGCATAGCAAAGAAATGGTAGGTAATTCTGCATTACATTTAGAATTAAAAACATCTGTCCAATACGGTGATAGCTGTGGGCCAGTATCACGACAATGCAAAAAGAATTGTCTCTTGATAGAGAAACTTAAGCTACCACTGTACAATTGGCTCTCTCTGTGGCGGCTATATTTTATGTTTTTAACTGGTCTGAAAAGTTTTCCAGTTGAGTCTCCAGTTCATTTTCCCAAGACACATGGGGCTTTGTACCTTACATTCACCTCTATTAAGGCTGTGTGCTGGGAATATGCCTTTTCTTACATAATGAAATCCTAGATACCAGTTCGCTAGGTCCTTACAGTAGGACAAGTGCTTGCATCACTGGGATGTTGGGATCATGAAAGCTCTTTATAAATTTGAAGCGATATTAACATTTCAGGCAGTTCAGGAAGTTGAAGGTATTAACCCTTAATCCGTTCTTTTTTTTTTTTTTTTTTACAAAAAAACTAGCAAAAGCACATTAAGGCTGTAGTTATATATTCTTTCCCCAGAATGAAATGAATAGAGATACACTATATTCTAGTTCACCATTGGGTGAAGCTATTTACTGTAGAAGAAAGTCAGGGCAGACATGCAACTGTAGGTGCTGGAAAAGCCAAATCACCTGTTTCCAGTGGGCTAGTCCCCTCTGCCATGCACACGTGTTGAACATAGTTCATTATTACCAACTTATACCCATCCCCTAGAATAATCTGACTGGACCAGTGAGAATAGGAGGAGTGATTTAAAATACAGAGGCCATTTTCTCTTCATTTTTACCTAAGCTAGACCTCCTTCCGAGTGTCAGTAAAGTTTGAACAATATTAAAATAGCATAACTGCTATTGAGGGCAGGAGGAGAAGGGGGCAACAGAGGATGAGATGGTTGGATGGCATCGTTGGCACAATGGACATGAATTTGAGAGAGTGAAGATAGTGAAGGACAGGGAAGACTGGCGTGCTGCAGTCCATGGGGTTGCAAAGAGCTGGACACAACTTAGTGTCTGAACAACAACATACCTGCTAAATGAGTAAAATTCAACTGCACTTTCTTTCTGAATGTGGCATGGTTGCAGCTCATTATTTTGGTTGGTAATATGTCTGTCTTTGATGAAAAACCTATATACTGCCATGCAAGTTTTTATCCATGATTAGATCAGCCTCGTAGGATGTCAGAGGGCATTGAAACCATCACCCAGGGTGCTCTTAAGAGATTCAGACTCCTGGGCCCCAGGCTCAGATACACTTACTCTGTAGACACAGGTGGGCTCAGTAACATGCATGTTTCTGAAAGTTGCTTGGGATTGATCTCTGTGACATTCACTTTGAGAAGTATTGCCCCAGGTAGGGATAGCTCAGTTAGCATCTCAGGCTACTTCTAGTTTGAGGATAGGTGAATTTGGAGAACAGCTCTATCAGGTCCATTCTAATTCCTTCATAAGAAATTTTATTGGCTTCATCTTTCCCTACCAAGCCTGTGCCCAGGAGTGTCGGTTGTCCAGGGGTGACTCATGAATAGGCAGAAAACTGAACCAAATGAAGTCTGAAAGTCAAGACTTGTGACCAAAAGTGAATGGTTAAGAGTGACTGCAGGAGAAAAACTGAACATTGAGGCCAGGTGTATGTCAAGGGTGAGGGACTAGCCTCAGCTAGGAGGGCAGAGTGGACTCTTTGGAGGCCGAGATACCATGTTTGCTTCCTGGAGGAAGGACCAATGTCTTTGGTCCACTTGGCCAATTTTAATAACACATAACTGAAGTTTAAAAAAATATGGCCTTAACTCTTTGAGAGTCCCTTGGACTGCAAGGAGATCGAACCAGTCCATCCTACAGGAAATTAGTCCTGAATCATTGGAAGGACTGATGGTGAAGCTGAAACTCCCCAATACTTTGGCCACCTGATACAAAGAGCTGACTCATTTGAAAAGACCCTGATGCTG